CTTCCATTATATTCTTTTTGATGTAAAACCCCGAAAATTAAACTCTTGTTGAACTTGCATAATTTTAGTTGACGAACACTGAACAATATTGATAGTATTATCAGCTGCAATATTGGATAGCCTGTATGGAGCAACCTGTATATTGTTAATTTTAACTCACGTGCATCGAACCGTTTTGCACGGGCGAAAGCTCTCAGCGCTTTCATCCTAAACGATTCAGGCAAATTGAAGGATTTTCCTCAAAACATTGTTCAATATTTTGTACTAACATGAAGACAATTCAGTTATTTTCGGTTTATATTTCTAACGTCACGACTGTTTATACTCAGTTTATAATACAGTCAACCTCTCGTTTTTAAATTATATTATAATATTACGTCATGTTTCCTTAGGTCCGAAAACACGATTATCTATTTAACTTTTATATAAAAGGTTTTTTTAGAATTTGATTTTGTTGCGGCTTAGTTGAAAAACAATTTATGAACGAGAGGTTGGGGGTTAAAATCCTAGGAAAACATAAAAAGATTACACATAAAAAGACAGGTTAAACTTTTACGGAGAAGTTCGTTAAAATGACGGGGTCTAATATTTACATATATTATGTAGTATTTCTTTGGGTTTTCCATAAAAATGTCATTAAATCATTAATGTACATAAAACCAGGGCTTATTGTACATCTAAATAGATATTTATTGTAGGTTTTATATATAAAGTTTATTACTTTGCATAAATTATCTCCCTAAATACAGTTATTGCGTGATTAGCTTGATTTTTCCGAACAATAGTTAGTACTTATGACGAAAGAAAATCGGGACAAGTGATCTGGAAAAACCTATGCACAACTGGATGCACGTTCTAATTAATGGCTCTCAACTATTCCGACATCGAGGAAATTAAGATGTCGACTCGATTTTTGTCTCTGCTCCACTCTATTGATGACGTTATGAAGCTTATTTATGTATAAGTATAACCTATCTACTAAAATTATACAGTTGAAGAGTTTGCTTTTTTGTTCGTTTGGCGCTAATCTAAGGAACTACTGATTCGAATCGAATTGAATCTTTGAGTGTTTCGTGTTGATATGTTTGAGAATGAGTGAATCTGAGAGTGACGGTTGAGATATTGAAAAAACTTATATTAAAAGATGACTTCTTTATAAATAATGTAAAAAAATATCCACGAGTGTATATCTCTTTCTATAAACGTTATCTTAAAAAAAACGACGGGATGGGGTTGTAACAACTATAATTTATGAAGAGGTTTGCTAAAAACAATTTTGATGTTCAAAATAACTTATACGCGGACGAAGTCGCTGACACATACCATAAACTTAATAAATATTTAAACTCGTATTAAACTTTAAATACTATTAAAACTATTCGAATATTAAAACAGTTTATAAATAATTATACTTTATTAAAATAATTTTTAAATCATAATAAGTATGATAAACTTAAACTTCGTAGCACTTTCGTAGATCTGCTACGTGCTCGGAATTTATTCTTTGTTTCAAAGTGTCGATCTAAACTTATTAAAGGTATAAGAGAAAAGATTTTTAGGAAAGACATTTTAAAAAGTATTTATATACTTTTGCTAACTACATTTATATCAGACAGCATTATCTATGGTTGGAATATTTGTTGTACAGTTGACAATTTTTTTTAATCATAACTATGTTTTTTTAATAACTTTTGTAAATTAGTCGATTATTATCTCGGGCTACATTTGATAAAAAAAACAATACTTATAGTTCGAATGATCTAGTGAGGCGGTTTCTATTTTTCTAAAATAGTATTGTGTATTTTTTATCTTCTGAAGGGACCAAAACAAAAATGGCCGATTTCAAACCATAGAGACCTAGTATGTGTGACCTTTTATAGAGTCAAGTTGATGCCACAGATGACACTAGGATAAAGAAACATCGATTATATACGGTCGAAACGACCTCAATATTCAAAATAATTTAATAACGATTTTTTTTTAAATATTATTAATTTTAACTCTACGTTTGTAACGTAACGATCGTGCATGAGTAGGACTTTTACCTTCTATTGTCGTTGACTTTGCTTACTGATCTAGACTGACTTTGCTTACTAGAATGGGATATTCTTATGTAAATGTCAAACTGTCTATTTACGTAAATTTATTTAGGATTTTTATAAATGAAGCATACAAGGTTAATATAATTCCAATATATCCATTGTCTTTTGTAAGAGTGTAGATAAATGTAAACCTTGTGAGAAAATGAAAATGTGCGTTTGTTTACCAAAAATCTCAAGTTAGAAAAAAATACACTATAGTTCAATGCTGGGTAGGAGATATGCTTCTGTTAGGATCAGTAGCTCGGCTCTAATTATGGAGACTTCAATTGATTCGTTGTGGGTACCCACAATTATTGGCTCAGAAGATACCCAATTACTCTGTAATAACCACAATACCGACCCTTTGAGCAATCAACGTCGGGCTTTACCGTTTTGTTGCTATGTATCATATTCTATGCCTGGGAATTTTAAATAAATTTATATTTATTCCTCGTGGGGAAAAATAATTCTTAGTATAGCACTTATAAATGAGACTTTAAAAGTAACTTATCCTTCGTCAAAGCTTGCAACACATTTTTGAAATTTTCTTAGTTGATTTATACACGTGTTATTGCAATGGTTCAAAAGTTAAACTCACGTAACGACGACACACGATACTTGATGGAAAAGTCCTAAGACGCTGAAAGAATAGACAATATAAATGGTAATGTTTGTGTACAATAGCGCAATAGGTAAGGTATAAGGCAAATGGTATGGGTGACAAAGTAATTATATCGACAGCTTCGTTGGTATTACACCAAGCAACCGGTAGCAATGTATGGTTAATAATCAATGGCTCGTGCGTTCGATCACCACCGGGTCCAACAAATTTCTTATCAAGTTTTCTGAAACATGTTGGACTTCGTCTGGAAATTTCGATATTAGTAATATCCAGATTTCCAGACGAAGTCCAACATGTGTCTGGAAATTTCGATATTAGTAATATCGAAATTTCACCCGAGTCACGGAACATCGTCCACAGATGAAAACACCGTCAAGTTGAATCGCGTTACGGTTTCACTTTTCGGATATCTGAATGTCCGAAGGGCCAGCGATAGGTCGACTGCCCATTTTCTATGGCATCATCAAGTGAACCCCTTTCTTGTCTATGATCCTCTAAATTTTGAGGAGTAATTCTATTTTTTTTATAATCAAAAACGGTCATTGTACATGAATGTTTGTTGTACACTGTCTATAGTTTACGCCAGTAGTACACATTTAAATAAAACACTTTAACGAAAATAAATGATTTTTGCAGGGGAGTCTCCCCGTGACCACGGCTGCAAAAATCATTTTCAAATAAGTTTAACTAATATATCGCGTTTTAAAGCGTTAAAGTGCTTTGTTTAAAAAATGTTTGTTGTATTGGAAATAACGAAAAATTACCTAAAATCACTTCATGAAATAGACTTATTAAATAACTTACAATAATTTTATTTTTCATTGGTTTCACATATCTTGACATATGTCATCGGGGTATTATAAAACGTTGTATGTACATTATTTTTATTATCTATGGTCATGCTTGGAGCTTAATTGTGTTGTCTAAAATTGTGATGAATGAGGGTTTATGTTGAGTGACATTATTGTGTTTCGGCGCGTATTGTCCAAACATAGGTATTGTTATGACGCTTTCAGTCGGCACATATACATTATTATACATATACAACATGCCATTATAAAATATTTACAGTAAACTATTAACTAAATTGCGTAAAAAAATATTAAATACATAAAGTCTAAGTCTAAGATCGATAGTTAAAAAATAACATTAATATAAAAAATGGATTCTTATTCAATTTAAATAATCGCATAGTGAGTCCCAATTTCTTATCATTGCAAGAAACAGACGTGGAAATGTAAGTTATGCTTTGATAATATAAAGAATTGAAGACGAAGAACCAAGAAATACTATAATTTTATATAACTGTATGCCTTAACCATTTTTTATTAACATAATTAAATGTTTTTAAATGAAAACACTTTAAACGCGAAATATATTGTTGACTTATTTTCAATTCGAAATTTCAGACCGTAGTTAGAATAAATTAAAAATAAGTAAACTGCTATATTTCGCGATTTAAACCGTTAAAGTGTTCTATATAAATATATACAATACACGTGAACTACAGACAGTATTTAAACGTTTAATGTTACTCGACTCATAGTATCTTTTTGATCTTAAATTTTATCCGCAAAGAAATCCATTCAAATACTTATTTTTTTTCCTATATTAAGGTCTTTAACCAAAAGTCTCGTTATTCAGTTCAATGAGCTGGCGTGTTCAAACGATTTACAACCCTCCTTTTCATCTAATACAAACACTAGTTAACTTTACTAATACACTTTTAGTGCAGTAACGCTTTGTTCTATAAATAAACACCCAGTTATTGATTTTAACGTTAAATTTGAAAATCGAAAACATTTTTAACATACTGCCTAAGTCAGCCACTTCGGCCGCGTAGTTATTTAAGCTGTTACCCACGACGTCGTCCGCGTCCCGTCATTCTTACAAGTTAATTTTAAAAGATAGACATATACTGTCTTGGACTTTTCTTTAGATCGTCTAAAGAGAAATCATTCTTTCCTACATTTTTTTTTGTTATCTTGAACCGTTTTCGCAGCGTACGCAATGGAAACCCACAAGGAAGAATAATTTTTCCCCGTTTTTTTCGATATTTTCGGCTGTTTCTTCGCTCCTATTAGTCACACCTCTATGTTTTATAACGTATAGCCTTCTTTAATAAATGCTTTAACTAACACAAAATTGAGAATTTTTCAATTCTAACCAGTAGGTCCTGAGATTAACGTGTTCAATCATACAAACTAACAATCTCATCAGATTTTTTCATTAGTATAGATTTGAAAAACTCTTTATAAATAGAAATTAGTAAAATCTTAGTTTTTTTTTTGTTACAGACCTCCAATTTCCCATCGATGTATCGGGAGTGCAAAACGACCATCCCTTCTTAGACGCAGACTCTCTTCAGTCCCTCTTCAGACGGTTGACAGCTCTGAACCGATGTGCCAACATGAAATTGGAACACCATCATCATCAGAAACGATCCGTAAGTATTTCACATTATTGTAATTCCATACTACACTTTATCTAAAGTATGCAATGAAATATGGGTATGTAGTTTGTAAGATGTCTTGTTTGGCTTATATCTAAATCTCACCATTTATTTTTAGAAGAGTCTCTTTAACACTTTAACAGTTTAAAGCTCGAAATATATAAGCTTATTTACAATTTATTTTAACGATGACCCGGGGTTTTCCATTTCTGACAGGTGAACCACGGCTGTTGTAAAGCATAAATGGAAAATAAGTTAACGAATATATTTTGAATTTGAAACCATTAAAAGTGTTTTATATTAATGTGTACTACACGCGTAATGTACAGAATATACTTTATGAGTCGTTTTATATTCACTATTCCATACTAATATAATGCACGTTGATCGCTTGATAAGAGGCAATCTAATAAGAATCAAAATTCCTGACACTACTTCATATTATTAAAGTAATGCAAAAATCACATTGGTTTTTAATAAATACTCAGTGTTAATCATATTTTTAATTTATAATAAACTAACTCGTGACTTAATTTTCCTAGGACGGTCTGTACAGATTTTAGGGAAGTAACTTAACTTAAACACTGGCGTATTTAAAGAATAAATGGATAGTCTGTTAAACACTTAGATAATAGTGTTTAATCAAATAAATACGACTCTTTACAATTCTCGTTACTTAGCGAGTTTCTTTAACACTCAATGATCGCAAACATTTGCTAAAAGCTCTCTGATAACTAGAATAAAATTGTGCGTTTACGGCCTATCTAAACTCAACGTTTAATGATATCTCTATGCTTCGTTTGCACGTGTTTCTTACTAGCCTAGGTTACTGTTATGCACAACTGGAATAAAGAAAGAATTATAACTTACAATAAATAAACACACTTTTGTATATTTGCCATTTAAAAACTGCGAAAAAAAAAACGGGTAGCTCATTTACTACTTGATAAAAATATTATAATATTCTTAAAAAAATAATTTTGTTTCATATTCAATGTGCGAGAATAGTTAATTATTCAAAATACAATAATAATTAATGTTCTTGCAAGATAATACTGATAACATAACGATTACAAATATTTGCAGTGTAACCTCGATAGATGTTTAAAGATAATTTGCAATGTTTGATAATATCGTATTGATTAATTTTATCTTGTAACATTTCAATATGCTTATAATGTCGATGCATATTTATTGCATAAATTTATCGCAGTAATAACAAGATTATTCAATATTTGAGTTACACAACGGTTGTTGTATTTATATTATTCACTAGTTGTGTCAGCGACTTTGTACGCACAAAATAGGTATCTCGGGTATCCAAATTTGCTTTTGCAAAACTCCATAAATTTAATCTTTTCTGTTACCCAGCCCAACGGTTGCGTTCTGTCATTTTTAAGATAGTTTAAAAAGAAATCATGCTTTAATACATATTTTTTGGGTATTCTTAACCGATGTCGCAGCATACGCATCGGAACCCCACAAAAATAAATATTTTTTCTCGTTTTTTTTTCACATTTCCTGCTGTTTCTTTGTTCCTATTAGTCAAAGTGCAAGGTTTTATAGCCTAAGCCTTTTTCGATAAATGCTCTTACCAACATAAGAACATTTTTTCAATTCGAACCAGTAGTTCCTGAGATTAGAGCGTTCAAACAAACCTTCAAACTTTTCAGCTTAATATATTAGTATAGATATAGATACTTAGATTAGATACTAAAAATTAACGAATCAAAAGTACTAAAATGTATTAAAGATTGGCCCAATTAGACACATACTTTCCGGTTATTTTTAAGTTAAACCCAAACTTAGTTAACCATTGTCAGGAACAGGGTAGAAGAGAGAGTACAGAACTATCCTTACCAGTACGAGTTCTAAGCATGCGAGTTTAATATAAGGTAAACACAGCACAAACCATCGTAATCGTTTATAGTGAAAACCGATATAGGAATGAAATCGATTCCAACTTTCTGTTTTCAATCGCTTTTTACATAACCATCTTTTACTTTTATTAAGTGCGGTTCATTGATTACATTAAGCTTTGATTAAGGCTTGTTTATCTTTAATTGAATACTTTTATGCTATAGTAATTTAAATTACTATTACTATTATAACGAGTGTAAAATGGTTATAAATAGGAGAAGGAAAATATAATAAACTTATTTGACACTAACTATTAGAGAAAGAGATTGTTGATAGATAGAAAGCTTTAGTGTAGGACGCTGTTATTTTAGAATAAATAGGGGAAGAAGGGAAATATCATAGTTACGTACGTTTTACAGAAACATGTCTATTTACATAAAACACTTTAACGGTTTAAAACGCGATATATTTGTTAAACTTCGGCCCGACGTTTCGGATGCTTTGCAGCAGCCGTGGTCACGGGGAGAGAAACATGTCTATTCTCTCAGCACCGCCGATTTTTATAAAACGTAAGATGCATCAGAATATTTATAGTTACCGTGGGTCAATTTTAAAGCTCATTTTGGTTGTTACCACAAATATTGGTGGCCTATGGCGTGGTGGTGATCACGATTTCGCCATTACAATTATCTGTTTCGGTCGGACAAGCCACATAAATCTGCAGAGATGTACTTGCCCCATACTCCCGCTACGTAAAATACTTTTATCATGATAATTATCGATTGTTTTGTTCTGACGAAAACCTGGGTAATGTGGAGTCACTTTTTCGTAAAAACAACTCAACAGTTTTTGATAATACTTAACAGCGTGAATAAGATAGACTTCTTTTTACGTAAGACAAGCCGCTAGCGAAAGCTAGTTATAAACTGACATCCTGCATGTCAATTCCGCTTCGCGGTCGCCACAAAGGCCGTCCGCCGAACTGACAAGAGGCAAACACTATTAATCACAGGTGGCTCGGGATTATTTGCCCCGGCTAAATTGAATTGGGCGCTTTGACGAAGACAGATCACTTCGCTATTAATAAAATTAATGTTCTTATAGACGTGTTATCTCTTAATTAAGTAGAACCAAACTATGTTCCACTCAATCTAATTCGCTAGATACGTCATATTATGACTACTGCACACTGCATTTGATGGCTGTGAGAAGGACGGGCAAGCTCGGGGGTTACTTGATGGTAGGTAAAATGTCCCAGCTATAATATATATATAACTTTGGCTTATATATTCGAAATTCATAGATTGATTTCGATTTGCTGTCACATTTTTTAGTCCGTTTTCTTATAAAATACCGGTCGATATGTAAAAACTCGCCTTGTGTGGCATGCCTTTATCATTCGCCATCAAACTAGATTATTATCGTAAATACATATCAGCGTAACAATGCAGTGTGTGTCCGTTTATACGTTTTTGTTTCTTTTTAACAAAATGTTACGCTATACTTGTAAGTACTTTTTACGGCGTGTCAGAAGCAACTGCGTTTTACAAGTTTGTTCGTAATAAAAAAGATTAGATATAGTATTGATTAAGTTAACTAATATAATTCACGTTTAAAACCGTTAAAAGTGTACTACTGACGTAAACTACAGACAATACAGACAACGTGTTCAATGTGAATCAATACTATTTATAAATCGAAAATAAATTGAAAAAATTGTCGACTCGGGCAGGACTTGAACCGGCATTATCAGCGTTCCGTGCTGTTGCTCTATTTTCGATTTTTAAATTATGTGCAATAACATGTCAAAATTATTAATGTCTATACTTCTTACGGTAAGTAACTCCATTGCACTCCATTCTAGTATTTAAGTTTTTATTCTATATCATTAATATTTTTCGTGCAATAAAGAATAAGTAAACAAATCAAAGTAGATATGAATCTACACATGTGTGTGATAATTGTTAATGCATTATGTCATCAGTTGCGCTCAATCAAGTAAATTATATTTAATTAAATAAATTTAAAAAAAGCTGCGCAAGATATACAAAAAAAGAGAAAATTTGCTTGTATGATACAGTGATTGGAAAAATGGATGTAAAATGACGTACATTTTGTTATAACTAAGAGTTATTTAAATCTTAAAGATTGAAACTCAAACGTTGTGTGGAGGTGTAATTCAGTTTAGACTAACCATTTGAAATAATGGAGTAATGACATTAGCTTCCTTCAATCTCCACAGTAATATCCTATCTGGGCAGCCTAAATGTCAGCGATATTAATTTTCAACAAGAATACATAAATACAGATTTAAAATAGTTTAACGTCTAGGTATTGTCTGTAGGCGAGTGGAACACTTTAAAAAAAAACATTACACAATTACACATTTCACCATCTTACCACCAAGTTCTTAAGATTTTCAAACCGTTGCGTTTGATTTATTTAAAGCTTTAACAGCCCTTCTGTTATATGTGGTCAACATCTCGCTATGACTAATAAGAGCGAGGAAACAGTAAAAAATGCGGATTTTTGGCGGATATGGGTTTCCGATAGGCACGCTGCGAAAACGGACCAAGATATAATGTCCGCGACACTAAATGTCTATCTTTTAAGAGTAACTTACAAGAACGACGGGACGCGGGTACATACGCTAAAATTTATACAGCTAGTTTATAGTTATTATTTACAATAAATCGCATTATTATACGACAAATAATAAAACAGATTTAATTAATTTATAGTTCCAACAATGGTATGTAATGTTGTAATCATTAGCAACGAAGTGGGAAACAACTTGTACATAATTCCTGCAGTAAAAACAGTGTAAACAATTTAAAAGCAAATCTTATTGGAAATTTAAAAATCGAAAATAAATTGAAAACATTTTCGACTCGGGCAGGACTTGAACCGGCATCGTCAGCGTTCCGTGCTGTCACTCTACCAATTGAGACTCGGTAGCTCAACTCCTGCCCGAGTCGAAAATGTTTTCAATTTAATTTCGATTTTTAAATTATATAGTGCCTTCATGTGCAATAACATGTAAAAAATAATAAAGTTTTCAAACCTCATTGGAAATTGCTAAATTTTCGAGAATAATGAACCTTGTTTGATGCTGAATCGATCTTGCAAAATTG